GCACTGCGAAGGCTGCGATTCTGTGTTAGGTGGAAAGTGCACGCAACCTACAAAACCCTGCATTGCCAGACGATTTGAAGGCTTCTACGCTGACATGAGCCTGAGACAAGCCAGCTAACTGAAACAAATGGACAGTAGGAGGACCCAAGTCCGGGCACAATTACAAAGCATGTCAAACTCACAGCGTCTCAGAAGACAGAAAGAAGAGGGTGGCTTTTGTGAAGCGGGTGCCTCCTCTTCGGATGGTTTGGGATCCGAAGCGGCTGCTTTTTCCCGAGCTGCACCTTGAAGATACATGTCGTGACGTGTCCCAAATGAAGGCTGCGGGATTGGACGCAAACGTTGGTCTTCGCCACACACCCCTCGTCTGCCACAGCGTGCTTGAAACACTGCTTGAAACAACGGCAGCCGTCAAACCCTCAGCGCCTTCGCCGCCGGCTGGGTGGGGCTGCGCATCGACCGCCTGATCTGCTGATCGGTGAAGCTTCTCCTCGTGCAGGCGCACATGCAGAATACACAGCCACTTTCTTCTGTTTGAGGTAGCCCAAAACTGAAGCTGCTGGACAGCCATGTCAGAACGAGTACTGAGGCTTCGATTCGGTGTTAGGTGCAAAGTGCACGCAACCTACCCCTGCCTTGCCAAGGCTTCCACGCTGACATGAGTTTCAGCTTGAGGCAAGCCAGCTAACTGAAACCAATGGAGAATCTGAGGACCCACACCCGGGTACATTTATTATATACTGCATGTCAAGCTAACAGCGACTCAGAAGACAGAAAACATGAGGGTGGCTTTTGTGATGCGGTCGTCTCCTCTTCGGATGGTTTGGGATCCGAAGCGGCTGCTTTTTCCCGAGCTGCACCTTGAAGATACATGTCGTGACGTGTCCCAAATGAAGGCTGCGGGATTGGACGCAAACGTTGGTCTTCGCCACACACCCCTCGTCTGCCACAGCGTGCTTGAAACACTGCTTGAACAACGGCAGCCGTCAAACCCTCAGCGCCTTCGCCGCCGGCTGGGTGGGGCTGCGCATCGACCGCCTGATCTGCTGATCGGGGGTGAAGCTTCTCCTCGTGCAGGCGCACATGCAGAATACACAGCCACTTTCTTCTGTTTGAGGTAGCCCAAAACTGAAGCTGCTGGACAGCCATGTCAGAACGAGTACTGAGGCTTCGATTCGGTGTTAGGTGCAAAGTGCACGCAACCTACCCCTGCCTTGCCAAGGCTTCCACGCTGACATGAGTTTCAGCTTGAGGCAAGCCAGCTAACTGAAACCAATGGAGAATCTGAGGACCCACACCCGGGTACATTTATTATATACTGCATGTCAAGCTAACAGCGACTCAGAAGACAGAAAACATGAGGGTGGCTTTTGTGATGCGGTCGTCTCCTCTTCGGATGGTTTGGGATCCGAAGCGGCTGCTTTTTCCCGAGCTGCACCTTGAAGATACATGTCGTGACGTGTCCCAAATGAAGGCTGCGGGATTGGACGCAAACGTTGGTCTTCGCCACACACCCCTCGTCTGCCACAGCGTGCTTGAAACACTGCTTGAACAACGGCAGCCGTCAAACCCTCAGCGCCTTCGCCGCCGGCTGGGTGGGGCTGCGCATCGACCGCCTGATCTGCTGATCGGTGAAGCTTCTCCTCGTGCAGGCGCACATGCAGAATACACAGCCACTTTCTTCTGTTTGAGGTAGCCCAAAACTGAAGCTGCTGGACAGCCATGTCAGAACGAGTACTGAGGCTTCGATTCGGTGTTAGGTGCAAAGTGCACGCAACCTACCCCTGCCTTGCCAAGGCTTCCACGCTGACATGAGTTTCAGCTTGAGGCAAGCCAGCTAACTGAAACCAATGGAGAATCTGAGGACCCACACCCGGGTACATATATTATATACTGCATGTCAAGCTAACAGCGACTCAGAAGACAGAAAACATGAGGGTGGCTTTTGTGATGCGGTCGTCTCCTCTTCGGATGGTTTGGGATCCGAAGCGGCTGCTTCTTCCCGAGCTGCACCTTGAAGATACATGTCGTGTCACGTCCCAAATGAAGGCTGTGGGATTGGACGCAAACGTTGGTTTTCGCCACACACCCCTCGTCTGCCACAGCGTGCTTGAAACAACGGCAGCCGTCAAACCCTCAGCGCCTTCGCCGCCGGCTGGATGGGGCTGCGCATCGACCGCCTGATCTGCTGATCCGGGGTGAAGCTTCTCCGCGTGCAGGCGCACATGCAGAATACACAGCCACTTTCTTCTGTTTGAGGTAGCCCAAAACTGAAGCTGCTGGACAGCCATGTCAGAACGAGTACTAAGGCCTCGATAAGATTTCAGAATCGGAGGACCCACACCCGGGTGCCGGGTACATTTACAAAGCATGTAAAGTTGACAGACAGAAATGAGAGGGTGGCTTTTGTGAAGCGGGCGCCTTCTCTTCGGATGGTTTGGGGTCCGAAGCGGCTGCCTCTTCCCGAGCTGCACCTTAATACATGTCATCACACTTCAAGCGCTGCCAACCATGCTTGAACACATCACTGCCATCGCCTGCCAGGTCTTCACCGCCGGCTGATTCTTGAGCCTGCAACACAGCATTGGCAGGAGATTTTTGCCATCTTGCCGATATGCTTTTGGTGGACCGCAGCACAACTCGATGCTTTTGGGATGACATGCAGGTGGTGCAGGCGCGAGAGAGAGGGGTCCTGTAAGCCCCCGACAGGGGTTGGCTGAGCAGCAGCCAACCTCGCTTGATCAAGAACTCATGGCAAAAAACACAGAACGACCGTGTTTTGGTCTTATCCAGTGACCTTCCTGGCTTACATGTTCAAACGGTGCCAAGAAACTCACGCCCTGCTCGAACAGGTTCAGCAGAGGCTGCTGTCTCAGCTAGGGCCTCTGTGCTTCGCACCGTGACTGGGAGTGGCTGTGTAGGATGTTGTGCCCTACGGATATCTTCGGAACCTCCGGGCGTGCGTGGGTTCCTTTAGCGCGCTCTTCTGGTCTCTTCTTTCGTGGCGTGAGGTGCCAGGAAGAGGAGGAGGAGGCGGAGGAGGAACAGGATGGCAAACAAATTCACACCAAACCAATTTCTCCTGCAATTCACACTTCGAGGGTGCATCCTAAGGAGGGAAGGAAAACAAGTAAGGAACAAATTGTCTGCAGAGGGTGCTCCCCCCAGCAACTCTGCCACATAACTCAAGGCGCCAAGGGATGTTGGGCTCTCCTGGATGCTTCTAGCGCTCGCTCTCCGTTCAAACTCGTCTCCAAAACAAGTGGTCGCTGATTGCGCGTATTGCCACTATACTATTGTGCTACTGTCACAATATGTCACGATTGCTTCGGCGCTCTGACCGTTTCCTGGTGGAAGTCTGATGGTCTGGCTGCTTTCTTATTGCTGTCCTGTTGTCCCTGCTGGTCAGAGTTCGTCCTGCTTTAGCACGATTTCATACGATTTCTATTCCTAAGTAGGACGCTTGCTGCTCTCTATTCGGGTGTTGTGCTTTGCCTTAGCCACATCTTTTCAAGTCAGCCGAGAACCGCGCGTGCGTTCTACAACCTTGTTGCCATCGCAAAAACAATGCGAGGCGAAGGGTGAACTTCCCTCAGTCAAACCATGCCAAACCAAAGTGGTCGGTTCTCGGAATTCGCCTCGGCTTTCCTGCCGAGAGAAGCGTCTGGAGCAAGTCGGGCCTCCTTCCCCCTAACCCAACCTCCCCACAAAACGCACCAAAAACCAACCCACCCCCCCCCCGCCCCCCCCCCACCGCCCCCCCCCCCCCCCCACCACCGCCCCCCACCCCGCCCCCACCGCCCCCCACCCCCCCCCCCCCCCCCCCTTTTTTGCAAAAGCCCTTTTTCCTCCTTTCCTGTCCTGGCCCGGCTGCCGAGGCGGCGCGTGCAAGCGTTTACAATTATTTTAGGGTCCCTTCTGGGACCCTAAATTAAGAGGCTGCCGGATGTTCAGCACCCCAAACAGGACCATAGTGAGCTTTGGAGGGTCGTATTTGGAATCAGTGCGCAGAGTGGGGAAGCACAACATGACATACGAGCGCGAAACGACCCGATGTGGCATTCACAGCATGTGGCAAGTTTTTTTGAGACTGGAGGTGGACGTATAAACACACACGGCAGTGATCTCAGAAGTGCCAGAAGTCAGAAGGATCTCCAGAAATGCGAGAAGCAAGGAATAAACACGAGAGTGTCAGAGAAGATACAGTAAGCTTCAACAATAGCGCTACCCTGTTATACATACCTGCACAGTATGTCTGTGTATATATATATATATAATAAATAAATAAATATAAATATATATATATATATATATGTACATATATATATATCTATATATATTTATATGTACATATACTTTTCCATTGCGCTTGGGTCTGAAAAGCCAGCACACAGAGGAGTATTGATGTGTACAGAACGTCTTGGCACCTCATCGCCACCAGCTTCCCCGCCAGCCGTTGCCATCGCCTGGCCCTCTGAAAGATCTTACCCTGCAATGTAAATATAGTAACATGTATAAACGGCTTTGTGGGCGTTTGCGGCTAAGTGAACCGTTGATGCTGAAGTGGGTCACACATGATCAGCAGTGCCAAGTAAGATCATGGCTCGAGCACATGGCCTCGTGTCCCTGCGTGCAGGTATTCGAACCTAAACCCCAAACCCCAAACCCCAAACCCCAACCCTAAACCCTAAACCCTAAACCCTAAACCCTAAACCCTAAACCCTAAACCCTAAACCCTAAACCCTAAACCCTAAACCCTAAACCCTAAACCCTAAACCCATTTCAGAGAAACCCCTCATCGAAGAAGCTGCCGGTGCCAGAAGCAGGCTGGGACAGCGGCGATGTCCTTCGGGACTTGCCACACACTGAGCCAGTTCATCTCAGAAGGGTATCCTAAACCCTAAACCCTAAACCCTAAACCCTAAACCCTAAACCCTAAACCATACAATGCTGAAGCCAGTGCAGCACTAAACCCCAGCACTCTTTACCAAACTTAGCACGATGCTGGAACGACGTTGCCGAGCACGTCTCCTCTGAACCGGCGACAAATACTGGTGGGATCACAAGCAGGATGGAAGCCAGCACCTAAGCCGCGGTTTAGGGTTTAGGGTTTAGGGTTTAGGGTTTAGGGTTTAGGGTTGGTCGCAGCTTGATGCCACCAGAAACAGCGAGGAAAGGAATGACATGCCCGGAATACATCCCCAGCGGTTCGCAGACTGCCTACATGCATGCAGACGAAATTAACGCGGAGCCTTGCAGGCCTGTCGAATCCTCTCCGAAGTTAGGGGTACCTTCTTGGGGTCCTTATTACAAGGGAATCGTAGTATTGGGGGTTCTTTTTTGGGGTCCCTTGTTTCCGAAAACTCCCAGGCTGTGAGCACTGGACGGATACGTTCGCGCCAAACGTCAACTGCATCTGCACGTCGTTGTATGGCAAAGGCCTCAAACAGAAATGTAGGTTGCTACCCCCTCAGTGTGAGCATGATGCGCCATTTTTCTTGTGACTTTATGATCTTATGATATTCGAATAGGATTAGAATTTGCATTGCTATATATTGCAATACTATTTTTATTGTGGTATATTACTAGTACTTACTAGATTCATACACTGTTTTACATTCTTTCGTTGTTATATCTTGCACGAAATGTGATGAATAATCGACAACCATCTCAGGAACGGGCCCCGTGGAGCGCAACGCCAAGCCTTCACTTGAAAAGGGGGTCTCAATCTTCTGAGCACCCGACTTCAAAATGCATCGATATGTCAACGTTGGATCCTAAATTTATTTTTTGGGTTACCCTGACGACCATAGGGCGGAATTCTCCTCAAAAGACAATGAGATCAGCGATGAGCACAACCAGGGCATTGCAAAGGTTTGGCTACGAGCAGTTGCGAGCATCTGCTGGACCTCTCGCTCTACCACCCATGTACTTGGCGGACCGTAGACCGCTGCAGACTCTTGCAACTTACCGGTCGGGCTTTGAGTTTAGGGTCGCTTGAGGATCGCTTGTGTTCGCCGGTGTCTTTCGCGGGCCACGGCAAACACAGGCGATCTGAAGGGGTCAGTCGAAGATTAATCATAATAATAGGAATGATAATAATACTCATACTGGTAATACTAATAATAATAAAAGCAATAGTAATAAAAAATAACAATAGTGTGATCATAATGACAACAACAATAACAATAACAATAACAATAACAATAACAATAACAATAACAATAATCATAATCATAATCATAATCATAATCATAATCATAACAATACTCATACCCACGTGCAGGTCTTCTAGGCGCGTGCTGAAACCAGAGTGATGAGCACTTGCGATGGCCACTGTGATGGGCATGAAACAATCGTGAACATGCGTGATGTCCCTTTGCTGCGTCCGTCCTCAAACCCGCCTGGCAACCTCGGTTTTCCAATCGATCCCCAAGCATCTGAAGGGCCTGGGAAAGATGCCTCCACCTTCGCCGTTTCCACTCGCATGAGGTCCGCTCCTCCCGATCCGGCGCCGAACATGAAACCGGCGGGACTACATCCCTCTCACGGATTCGCCGTCCTTCGAAAGATGCTGCCTGGCCGCCAACCGCCAGGAACCATGTGTTCCTCAGACGGCCCCGCCAGCAAAATTGATCAACCCTGCCAGCCTACAGCAATGCTTAGGCATCGGCTGATAGAGGAGCCCGGCAGGGATGCGAAGTTCAACACCAAAAGCATACATCCTGGGTCACAATGGGTTCTGGGGCCGTACAAGCAGCGCCCCATTCCTTTCCCCCACTTTCACTCCAGACTGCGAGTGCCCCTGTCGTGTTTCTTACGTGTCTTATACGAGATTCGACTGACTTGGGCCACTTTTTCGAGGGCTTGAAGTGCAGCAGGCAAGTCTGAGCAAGCTCATGGAGATGCAACGTTCAGCACCATTGCGTCTATACACTATACATCTCCCATGTAGCTTTGACTGTCGATGTTGTGATTGACAGCACATCTTGCACGTGCTTGCTCGTTTCGACACGATGGTTCGGTGCTGCGTGCCTGCCCCCAACAAGGACACTTGACAACACGCGTAGGCCGCGGGCTGGATCATCCGCTTGGCATGACGTACACTTGCAGTGGCAATGTAGCGACTGAGATCCGTGCGTTCCCGCAAGCAATGTGGCACCAACCACTTCTAGCTCGATGATGCCTCGTTGATGGGTTCTCTTTTTTTGTCCGCTTTTGGCCCATGTTACAACGTATAAGACAACTCCAAAGAAGGAACGTCTGGGGGCACGAGCCTTCCAGCAAAGCGGCGGCCCTCACAACCCATCAGTTGCGGGGTTGTCGGGTTTTTGGGGATAGGAGGGCTGTTTCTGGGGCTTGTGGAGGTGTTTGCGTTCTGGGTTTCTGTGACTTACTGGGAGTACTGGGGAATATCGTGCTTGGGTCGATTATGGGGTGTAGAACTGCCAGCTGCCTTGATTCGCCCCCCAAATCTGCCTGCCCGAAAAGGCAGAGTCTTGTCCTCCACCAGCCAGGCACGTGACAGAACGGCTGCCTTGACAAGAGTATGCGCGTGCAGAGCAACCGCCCTTTACGCATCAAAAGTCAACCTGAGAAGCACACCAACAGGAAGCGGCACGTACCCGGCTGGAACACCCTGACAGTTGGCGGCAGTTTTGCTGCAGCTTTTGCAACATCGGCATTTCCATTCCCATGCAGCACGATTGTCATGCATCTTTGTCGGCGAGACCTAAATTCCCTAAACCCTAAACCCTAGACCCTAGACCCTAAACCCTAAACCCTAAACCCTAAACCCTAAACCCTGCACCTTCAGCCAAGAAAGCAGGCACCTTAGGGCCTTAAGGCACGGCGCTCTTCGCCACGCAGGCCCCCCCTTGCGCCTGGAGTTGCAGCGCGGAAGAGCAGCGCGCCCCGGCTGGGCGCAGCCCAAAGGGTGCCCGAAGCATCACAGTGGCGGATGCCTCTAGAGATTTATAGGGTTTATAGGGTTTATAGGGGTTATAGGGGTTATGAGATTTATAGGGTTTATAGGGTTTAGAGGGTAGGGTCTTCTAGGGCTAAGAGGGTTTAGAGGGTTGTAGGGTTTAGGGTGTGCGCAGGTGCTTTGGATTGACATCTTCAAGCGGCAGCTCCCTTGCGCGCAACAGCCCCAGCAGAGTGCCATCCAGCAAGAGGGCAGCCAAGAGAGCCCGTAACATGTGAAAGTTAAATTGAACATCTTCGAATGTGGAGCCCTAAGCCCTACACCCTAAACCCAAAACCCTAAACTACTCCGAAGCGGCGCGGCCTGTCTTGACAACTCAAAGCCCAAGAAGAAGATCGACTTGGAGGTGTCTGATGTCCACTGGGCCTGCCAACCGGGGCTCCCCTAAACCCTAAACCCTAAACCCTAAACCCTAAACCCTAAACCCTAAACCCTAAACCCTAAACCCTAAACCCTAAAAGCAGCCCGACCCAGCAAGCACAGCTATGACAGGGCCTCAGATCGCTATACAGGCTGGCGCCACAAGCATTCGGAGCTGGCCGTTGTTCATGACACTCTAAACCCTAAACCCTAAACCTAAACCCTAGACCCTAGACCCTAAACCCTAAACCCTAAACCCTTGACGTTTCCACAAGTGACCCGCGGAATTCTTCTAAAACAGTGGTTTCGCTCGACGCCTCTGCATTTTTTAAGGGTTGTGTTTGAGTTTTGTTTGTGTGTTTTTTGGTTTTCGCTCGGGTTTTTGGTCGAAATGTTTGTGCCACTTCAGGTGCTCCGGCTGCCACTGCCCCTTTTGAGTGAAATGATTTAATTATAAAAAACAATAATAATAACAACAACAACAATAATAATAATCCGATGATTGCGCGCCTGTTACCAGCACATCCATTCTCCAGAGTATCCATGCCAGCAGGATGAATACGTTCGTGTTGTCGGCACATCCTCCCCAGAGCACGATGATTACACGTTCGTGTGACCAGCATGCACATCCACGATGATTACGTTCCTGTTACCAGCGCATCCATTCCCCAGAGCATTCATGCTCGCGCGATGATTACATTCCTGTTACTGGCATCACTTAGGCAGTCCGGAGGCCCTGAGACAGAAGCTCGGACACTTCTTGCTGAGAGCACCCGACAACGACTGCAGCCTGAGATTGGCTGCCACAAGCGAGCTTCCCGCCCGAAAAAACGCGGGCCAGCTACGGACACGCCAGGCCCTAAAAACCCTAACCTTGGGATGGGGCTGGTCAGATCATGGATTTGGCTCAGGGAGGGCGCCTGCAAAGCTGAAGCCGCCAGCAAGTTCACCTGGACGAGGCAAGGCGTAGCCCTAATTAAACCCTAAACCCTAAACCCTAAACCCTAAACCCTAAACCCTAAATCCTAAACCCTAAACCCTAAACCCTAAACCCTAAAACCCTAAACGCTAGCCCCAGGAGTCTTCCACCAAAAGCCCTAACCCCGAAGCGCATCCGAATCAGTGAGCCTGCGAGTCCAGGAGCATGAATGGAGCAGTCAGGGTGCAACTGGCATCCAGCACTGCGCCTGCGATCTTTTGTGCAATTTCGAACAACCGGTTTAGGGTTTAGGGTTTAGGGCCGTTTAGGGTTTAGGCTTCAGACCGTACTTGAAACAGCTCAAAATTGGATAATGGACTCTTGGCGCCTCCGGCACTGAAGGTGCCTGCGGTGGAAAGATACTCAGGTGCACATTTTGTACTACTACTTGTACTACTACTACTACTACTACTACTACTACTACTACTACTACTACTACTACTACTACTACTACTACTACTACTACTACTACTACTACTACTACTACTACTACTACTACTACGATTATCATTATTGGTATTAGTATTGTTACCACTATTACTACCATTGTTATTAATATTATTAGTATTATTATTTTTATCATGATTACGAGTATAATTATTTTGATTGGTATCATTTCGACTGAAAGCGAGGGTCCCGGGATCCCGGCCAATGTCCCAGGTGTTTTGACTTGGAACCTCCAGCAACTGCGCGGCGGCAACGTGCTGGAAGACTTCCAGCATTCTGATGTAAGACTAGGGTTTAGGGTTTAGGGTTTAGGGTTTCGGGTCTAGGGTTTAGGGCCCTGAAATCTGAGGCCCATGGCCACCGCCGGAATGCGGACGCCGATGGCTATGAGATGGGACCTGAGCCATCGGGAGTTGGGGAAAAGCCTAAACTTAAGGGACTAAAGGAGGGACCCTTATAAGGGTTATCTATATAGGGGAATAAGATTAAGGGTCCCTTCCAGTGGTCCCTCCTTCTACCCCTTAATAAACCTTAAAGAGGAAGCCTACAAAAGGGTACCCCTATTTTTGGTTCCCCCCTTTTCAAGTACTTGTAACAGACCCTGAAGACCGAGACTCTGCCAAAAGATGTTCCAAGTTGTGCGGGCTTTGTTAAGGAACTTACACTGATTTTACAAAATGTCTGAAATATTGAATAAACAATATATTGTCCTTTTCGGTAAGATACTTAAAGCTTCTCAACGAGAATCCCGGTTTTCAGGGTAGTTGAGGCTGTCGCGCTGCATCAGCCGGCGTGGATGCTCCATGATGCAGTCGAAGGGCCGGTCGCCCGCCTGCAACCATGTTTGCACAAGTGCCCTAAACCCTAAACCCTAAACCCTAAACCCCAAACCCCAAACCCCAAACCCCAAACCCTAAACCCTAAACCCTAACCCTAAACCGTGAACCCTAAACCAAAAACCCTATCATTACGCTTGCAGCTGCCTGCTGTGGTCCACTCGCAGGTTGTGTTTTCTGGCAGAGGCACATAACTCGGATACACCTTAGCTGCCACATGCGCCGATTTCGCACGCCGCTTCACGAAAGGCGTGCATGAACGAGCTGTACTTCCCTTCAAGCTCCAAGCTTCCTCCGGTTGCAGGGGAGGCGCATGCCCAAACACGCTGAGCTCTGGATAGAACGGCACCGCTCCATCCAAGAAGTTCCGGCAAGGATCCTCCCGGAGCATCACTGCGAGGATCGCCATTCTCCACTGTCAGTCTTGTTATCTTATTCATGCTACAGGAAAAGTATGACTGCTACAGGAGAAAAACAGCAAAGAATGGCCCTAACAACGATGAACCATCGTAGCAGGCGGAGTCTTACACCGCTCTTGAGGCTGCCCTTGCAAGTTTTGAGTCCTCGCCCTGGAAGCTGGGTGGCAGGAGGATTTGCACGTAGCCTCCAAAATTCAATGGGGAAGCGCGCGTGAAGCCTCAGCGCAGCCCACTGCAACGCCATGTGTTGGACTTCTTGGAGGTTCATGGTACTTAATAACCCAATTATAACTGTACCTACAACCCAATTACTGGGGCACTTAACGGGCTTATATGTAGGTTCTACAAGTACCATGAATCTCCAGTTCTCACTTCTGACAGTTCACCACTTGCGAGCTCTGAACTCACCAGCACGGACGTCGACCCAGCTTGCAGGGAGAAGGGCAAAACCTTGGAGATCCCAGGCACTCTTTCTGGGAAGACTTGTCATAATGTGCATACATATAATAGTTATATTTGTATATATATATATATACTATCATATACATATACTGTTATATATATATATATACATGTATTCGTGCATTCAGCTGAAACTGGCAGACGGATGCAGGTACACGAGCTCCAGGCAGCACAGTCCGAAACCACCGGAACCCTCATGTTCCTGAAGCTGCCACTGACCGCCTCAGCATGTGACACTCGACTCTTATGATGATTATTGTCTTTATTCTTGCCATTGTTAAAGCGATTGCTATTGTTATTGTCATTGTTATTCTATTGTTATTTTTATTTCTTATTTTGGTGTTGCGATTATCATTATTATGATGGTGCAAAAAAGTGCAGCAACAATGATGTGAATACTATGGTCGGCAGGTTCATTCATTTGGTAACTTAGCCAGATATCTACAGCCATAGGGTACAGATAGCGAATGGGTCTTCATTCCTTGTTTGTTGTAGTTGCCGGTCGCTGGGCAAACTTGTGGCTCGATACATCGTCTGCATCGGCTTTGCTGCTGCTGCTGCTGCTGCTGCTGCTGCTGCTGCTGCTGCTGCTGCTGCTGCTGCTGCTGCTGCTGCTTCTGTTACAGACCTGCTGGGCGTCTTGACTTACTTGGGGGTTTACGATATTAGGAGTACCTTGTTTGGATCCTTATTATAAGGGGATTCTACTATTCGGGGGTCTATTTTAGGGGTCCGCCATTGTCATAAGCCCCCACTTGATCTTGCGACACAGACTTGCATGGAAGGACAGAACCGTCTCACAAGCAGCAGTCCTGGCCTCATAGTTTGTTGCCGACACCAACTCGACCTCTGAAATCTTCCGTCGTGCAGACATGGGTCACCGGACTGGTGCAAGTAGATGCAAGTGGGCTAACAAGTGAATATTAAAAGCTCTCATCCCTGCAACGCTGGCCATCTTACAACTGCTCAGCAGTATGAACTCACATCACAGGCATCTCAGAGGCACATTCATTCCGAGGACCCCCTCGGGGAGGAGGGGGCAGTGGGCCGGGAGATATCTGTGTCGCGATTGCTTTGAAATGCTTTGAACTTCCCAGGCCGCCACGCCTGTATTGTTACTCGTACGAACTGGGTGGAAACAGACCCTAAACTTGGCCCGAAAACCCTCAAGCCAGTTCTCGTAAGCTCCAATGCTCCAAACCCACCCGGGACAACCACGCACACAGCCACACGCCCCCTGGCTGACAATTGGTGACAAGTGGGGCGCATGTGAACCAGAACCATGCTGCAGCATCCGCGTTGGGCGCGTGGATTCCTGGCCTTCACCCTTTGGGTTTGTCAGCATCAGTGGCTGCAGTGACCAGGTTCACAACAGTTCAAGGAGTCAGGTTCTGTCAGGCTGGTCTAAGGCACGCCAGGCACAACGGATCACACACATGCGCACATCTAGCTGCTGTAGCTGAGTAGGAAGCCTCTGCGGTGCCACTGAGCTCGGCCGACCTGACAGCAGCACCGGCAGCTCAAAGACGGAGGAGTCAAGGCTGAGGCCCTAGCCACAGATCGGAGGGCTGCCTCACCTGCCGCCCACATGGTGGTACTAGTGAAGAGTCGCAGGGTTCAGAGGGTTATCAGGAAGGTCAGACAAGAGGCCTGTTCGACACTAGCAAGGCCACCCTTCCCGCCCGAAAGATAGCACCGAAGCCGATCGAAGCCGGAAGTGGACACGTATCGACATGTGTTGCCTGCCCAGCTGGTTGCTGCACTCAGGGCAGTCGCGCAAACAAGCCGGCAGCACATCAGGTACCAGAATGTATGCCTTCCAGCTTGTTCATCACACACGATCATGCGAAGAGCAGTGTGAAGCTTGACCCATGTCAGACATTGCTCGGCGAGGACTCTGTTCGATTAAGCACGCAGGCCCATTCAAACGCACTAGCAGCTCAGCCCAGCTTGCCTATACTCTGCTATCCACAGGAGCCTGCTTTCTAGACATGTCCTCCTGCTGCAACAACTTTCAACCCACTCCTGCCAGGGTTCCCCAAACCCCTAAACCCTAAACCCAAACCCTAAACCCTAAACCCTAAACCCCAAACCCTATCGCAAACCCCCAACCCGAGATGCACTTTGGACCTGAAGGCCGTAGACGCGGCCGCCCTCCAGAGCATCAGCAAGCTGAAGGGACCTTCAAGGGCTAAGGCTTTCGGGGTCAGCTTTGGGCAGGCTATACTCTTGAACCCGAAGACATGCCTATACTTGAAAGCCTTCAGCGTTTGCCCAAAACCCTAAACCCTAAACCCTAAACCCCAAACCCCAAACCCTAAACCCTAAAACCCTCCTAAGCCTTCAGGCCAGTGATGCCGAGTTCCTGGCATGGCGGTTGGGTTTCCCGCCAGCAACGACGCCTGCAGCAACTGGGAGTCTGACTGCGTTTAGGGTTTAGGGTTTAGGGTTTAGGGATACTATATGGGGCTTCCGATAATGAGGGGTACCTTATTGGGGTCCTCATTGTAAGGGAATCCTACTATGTGGGGTCTATTTTAGGGGTCCCCTATTTTCATAAACCTTCATATGGAGGCTATAGCTCCTCAGAAGGATTGCATACTCCGGCACGGCTTCCATGAGAACTCACGTGCCTCATCTGTGTTTGCTGCAGGCCTAAGCCAGGGTTTAGGGTTTAGGGTATACGGTTTAGGGTTTAGGGGTGCACGTCGCCCTTCGGACCCTCCGGGTCTCAACAGCTCATCGGATTGACCGGTGACATGGACAGGACACCATAAACCCTCATCATTGTATTTTGTCATATTATGTATACGGCCTCGGTATATTTCTATGTTATACATTACACACACACACACACACATATATATATATATATAAGAATATACATATACTTATATATAGTATGTTGTATATGATGCTTTGTATCCCCTAAACCCAAGCAATACAGCAGACATCAGCAGACCGCGGCCGCGGCGATCTCCGAACTCAGGCCACACGGGTTCAACGAATTCCGGTTTAGGCTTTAGGGTTTAGGGTTCAGCAGCTCTGGGTCGAGCAGTCTCTAGTAGAGCCGCTGTCTGGACTCTAGAAAAAAACCCACCCACCCAGAGAATCCCAAAACATTACAGTAAGAAAAATAAAGTTCACATTTTTCCTCAGCAAGCCCTGTCCTCCAACCTCATTTATTCATTCTGCTCGTGTTCTTTGTCATTCTGCTTGGTTTCCATTCTGCTCGTATGCGTTTCTTTCTGCTCGTATTCGTTCTTTTTCTGATCCGCTCGTCTCGTGTTCGTTCTCGTTCTGCTCGTATTCATTCTGCTCGTATTCGTTCTCTCTCTGCTCGATTTCAGTCCGCTCGTTTTTGCACCATCATGCGACTTAGCGAAAGTCTCCCGACGCAGCTTTGACGGCTTATGGAAGGGCGCCCCTTAGCCGTAGGAGCTGTAGGAGCAGGAGCGGGAACAGTAAGCTCAGTGCTAGCTCTTCTCGCCCAACAAGCCCTGCGGTCTGACCCCCCCTACGCTTGTGACTTGGCTGGGGATCTCAACCTGGATCAAGGACGGCTTCCTTTGATTTTCTGGGTCGGGCTTTTGCTTGGCTTGCTCCTGGGCATCGTCATAGGGGGTCTGCTCGACCTGCTGTACTTGTGGAAACAACAGCTGACTTTAAGTGTAAGGAACCGTCTTGCCACTCTGCAGATCAAAGGGGGTCGTGCATAAGCAACAGCCTTGTTCTCGAAGATCTCGCTCGTCAGCTTGCGCTCTTGCAAGAGCGTGTCCGGCAACCGGAAGAACTTCAAGCTGTTTTCGAGGGAAGTGCGCCGTCATCTACCCCTTTGCGAGCTGCCGAGCCACAGGCCACCTCTTCGTCTTCTACCGCCGCTACTCTTCATCAGTCGTCGAGGGCATCTCAGCACCCCTACCAGGCCGCTGACGAAGAGCTGGCGGTGACCGACGTGCAACGCCTGCTGGGACAGTGGCTGAGGGCTGAAACTGCAGAGCATCGCAGAGGGCCCTCGGGACGAGCTCGCTGTCCTCTGGTCTGGGAGGATCAGCGCGCAGTGGGCGTTGCGGGGCTGACTTGGCCGGATGCATTCTGAGGAAGAGTGGGACGACGCTCAGCCTGTCACCGGAGGGGCAGGCGAGGAGCGGAGACTTGTGGATCTCCGGATTCTTGGTGCAGATCAGGTCGTCCGATCTGATTATCCTTTAGCTGTGCTGGCTGTCCAGAAAGCTGAAGAAAATCCCACCTTGGTCGCAGTGGCAGTTGTGGGGCCTTTGGCTTCCGGCGAACTTCTGATTGCTTTTCCTTCCAGGTGCTGGCATCGCACTCCCGCCAGACGCATAGTGGGAACGAAGTACGTGAGGAAGGTCAGTGTCTGCAGAGTTGCTCTTTCGGATCCTGAAAATCGTTCTCACCCCACAACCGTTGAAGTTCGAGTTGCTTTGGGCGTCCTTACCACCGAAGGTGAGGGGGCTACCGACCCAGTCGACTCGTTCAGCGAGGACCTCGTCATCGACTACCCCTTCGTGGAGGGCGAGCCTGCGGACCAGCTCCCTTCTGCTCAGGCATTGGTTGACGTATCTTCTCCGTCCTTTGAGTTTGAAACCGCTGTTAGTGGGGGTGACTTGCCTGAGGAGCTTCCGGGGCAAGGGGGCGACTTCGGACCTCGCATTGCTTCTCTGGAGACATGTTTCCAGCAAATTCAGCGGGACCTTCAAGTCCTACTTCATCGAGACGCAGGGCCTGGACATCCAAAGGCAAAGGCGTCCCCCGGAGAGACCCGTTTGCGAGAGCCCGGGAACCCGAAGCAAAAGGCTGCTCCCAACTTTCGGGGCTTGGACCCCGCAGTCGTGCGGGCTGCTCAGACAGCTGGAGTTCCCGACTCTCACTTGGAGGAGATGTCCCGCCTTGTAAGGCGGACTCCCGGCACACTGGTGGATCAACCTGCGCGGACGAACCGCGGACGAGTACTTCGCGCAGAGCCCGACGACCCATTGGACGACGAGGAGTACCTGCCAGAGGAAGCCGATGCTCAGGACGTCCCCTCGGACCCTATGCAGGCGGCTGTGATGCGCCTGACCGAGATCGCTGCGTCGCTTACAGCCCAGAAGAAGAAAGATACGAGCTTGGATGCATTGCTGGACGCCAGCGGAGGCGCTGTTGGATCGCAAGACGGCGGCCCAGGAACGACAGCAAGGAAAAATGCAGCAGCTCTGATGGCCCTGAAGGAGCGGCTGAGCTCCAAGCCCCGAGAACTTTCGGAAAACATCGAGAAGAGGATGCTGGCCGACTTTGCTCTCAGGACAGCTCTGCCAGGAACGGGTCAGGTGCCTGCGACGTGGAGGGGTTGGTTGGAGACGAGGTCGAAGGTGCAGGCGTATCCCACCACCGTGCGATTCCTTTGGGCATTGGGTGGCGTTGCAGATTGCTTGCGAGAAGGACGTCAGGACGAGGCATACACCCGCTGTCTCCTTGCCCTGATGGCAGGAGATCAGCTCTCCATAGATCGGGGCGGGTGGGGAATGGCGTCGGAAATGAGTCTGGAGGATCCACCTCCTTTCGGCGCATTTGGTGTTCGTCCTCTACCTGGCGGAACAGAAGTCCCCTTCTCCAAGCTGGTCGACCCTCGATGGGTCGATCTATTCATCAGCCGCCTGGGCGACGTAGAGAAGTACTTGGAGACGAGGAAAAAGTTGGCCTCGAGTTCCAGCTCAGCCCCGACAGCGCCGCCTTCTACGACCACCGCTTTCGGAGGCGAGAGCCAGGAGCCGGGCGCCAGGAAGGGAAAGCCAAAGGGGGGCAAGGACAGCGCAAAGAGGCCTCCGAAGGGAGCCCCTGCCGAGGGGGCCGATGCAAAGTGATCTACGGCAGGCAGTGCTGTCAGGGGACCCTGCAGGGAGGAGGCGATACACGTGTGCCAGGCTCCGAAGCTAGTACCGTGGACCCATCTTCGCTGTGGCAGGCCCTGCCGAGACTGCTCGTTCATAGATCGAATTCGTTCTCGCGTTTTTTCAAATCCCAGAGCTCAAGATCGCCCAGAGTGCTCGAGACGAGCTTCACTTCATCGCCTTCTTCTTCGCCTTTGTGGCCTATGCCCTTGCCGTATTTGAAGTTCGGTGGGGCGCCGACGAGCTCGCTACACTCTCTGCCTCTCGCGCTCCAGAACGGGGTGAACCTTGCTGTGTCCGCTTTGAACTGGTTGCACTTGGGAAAGCCTCGGAGCGCCCCTGATGAAATTAGGGGCAACCTTCCTTTGAGCGGAGAGCAACGCAGAGTCGTGTCGAGCTTGGAAAAATCGATGGAAGAGATCATTTGTCATGTCCCTGTGGATGCAGCAAGCATGGGGCGAACTGCAGCCAAGGTTGAGAATTTGGAAAGTCTTGTATCTTTGTTGCATCGAAAGGCCAATCACGTCGCCAAGTACATCCGGACCTATGCGAAGATGCCCATCAATGGAGGCCCCTTGTTTGATCCTGCCGAGGGCGAGTTCGCTTCAAACTTGGCAGGGTGCGCGGGCGCGTATGTGTCTGCAAAGCCTATCGTTGCAAGCAGGTTGAAGTTTGGTTCTGCTCCGCAATTCAACCCGGCGCCATATATGGATGACGTTACCTTGGACAGATACCTTCATCCCCTCAAACATGCGCTACCTGAGTCTGATTCCCCTGAAAAGCCTCCCCGAGCTCGGATTCTCGGAACTCCCGAGGAACGAATGCGTTTGCTGCAGAAGATGGATAAATCTGGACGATTGAAATGGGTACCAAGTGATCAGGCCCGCCAGAAGCATTTGAACGGATTGTTTGCAGTCCCAAAGAATTTGGAGCTGGATAGGCTGATTCTCGATGCTCGAGGCCCAAATTTATTGGAAGATGGTTTAAACCGCTGGACGCAATCCATGGGGTCCGTGCAAGGGCTTCTTCAAATACATCTGGCCAGAGGCGAAAATTTGCTCATCCATTCCACCGACTTGTCTGACTATTACTATCATTTTGTGATATCAAGCGAAAGAGTCGTTCGCAATTGCTTGGCTGCAGAGTACACTCAGAGTACGGCTAGGGCCTTTTCAAGCTTTGAGTTCACAGAAGCTCAGGCAGCTGAGCGCTACCGCCCGGCTTTGGGCTCGCTCGCTATGGGCGACATCAACAGTGTCGAATTTGGACAGTTGAGTCACTTATCTCTCACACTTGCAGCTGGAGCAGTTTCAGCTGAAGAGCTTCTTACTCTAAGATCCACGTGTCCCCGCTCCAGGTTGCAAGCTGGCATCATCATCGACGATCTCGTGATGTTAGAAAAGCAGAGTGAGGAGGCGCGTGCGAGCATGGAACCGGGTGACAGTGAAGGTGCTCGTCGCATGAACATCATGAAAGAAGCATATCGCAGTGCAAAGCTGGTGCAGAATGAGAAGAAATCGTTCATCGAAGCCTGCCGCGCTCAGGTATGGGGAGCCGACATCGACGGCGTCAAGGGCGTCGTCCGGCCAATAGCTGAGAGGCTGATTCCCGTCATCTCGCTGACGGTGGAAGTGGCTCGAGCTGGTGTGATCACTAAGTATTTGCTGTCAGTCCTTTCTGGGTTTTACATCTCTGTATTTCAGTTTCGGAGGCGCTTCATGTCGCTTCTGGAGGAAGTGTTCAAGGCGCCGACCTGGGCGACCGAGCACACTGTTCTGGAAATCTGGCCGAGGCTAGAAAGTGAGCTGTGGACATTGGTGGCTCTAGCCCCTCTGGGTCAGACATCACTGCGCAGCGAGTACAGTGGGGAGTTGTCAGCTACAGATGCGTCCGACGTTTGGGAAGCTGAGGTTTCTGTTCACGTGGGGGAACAATTCAGCAGGGAGATGGCTCGCCACACTATGAGAAAGTCTGTTTGGGCGAAATTGCTGAACCCGCAAGCAGCTTTGTTGAGGGAGAAGGGAGTGTTGCAACCAGAGTTCGAACTTCCAGGCGAAGAATGCATCCAAGGTAACAGTATTTGGCAAACCATCATGCAAGCCTTGCCTTTCAAAACCCGATGGAGAAAGAGAATCAGGCGCAAACGACACATAAATGTGCATGAATTGCGGGCAGTGATCGCTTCGGAGCATCGGAGAGCTAGAAAGAAACCTGGGTGCAGGCTGGTCACGGGAACGGATAGCCAAGTGGCCCTTGGCGTGCTGACGAAAGGACGATCCTCGTCCTCTCGACTGAATGGGGTATTACGGCAGAGTCTTCCGATGTATGTTGCTTTGGATATCTCAGGGTTCTACTTCTACGTAGAGTCCTCGCTGAACCCAGCAGATGATCCTACCCGGGATGAAGCTGACCGAGGACCAAAAATCCCTTGCCCCAGATGGCTCAGTGATGCTCTCGATGGAGATTTCGCTGGACTGGATACAGAGCTGAAACGCGTCGGACTGGATCCTGTCAGCACTATGGGCCTGCCGCCTTTGTCCTCCATCGTTCCTGCTCTGAGAATAGAAGAAAAGCTGTGTAGGAGAGAGCGGAGAAAGCAAAGGCTGATACACATCGAAGAGACCTTGGGTAGAGAACGTTCAGATATCGCTGCAGAGCTCTATGCTGCAACTTTGCTCATTCAAGAAGAGATATCACGAAAGAGCGTTGCGCGTCTGATTGATCTTCTACCTGTCAGGTATGACTCCAGAAAGTCACAGGGCTTCCATGGGGCTTCCTGGAGCTCGGGAGCATACGTGTATGGAGGTGCTTCGGGCCTTCGAGCAAACACCCGAGGATTCTGGCGATCTACGCTGGTTTTGGCTCACTTTCTCCGACAAGAATTTCCAGAGGCCCGGTTCAATTCTCTCGTTGTGAACATTGACAAAAACACTCCTTGCCATCGAGATCCTCATGACTCCATTGATTCAGTAAACTACGTTTGCAAAATCAGTAACTTCGAGGACGGTGGCGTGTGGGTTGGAAATGGCTTAGGAGACGATGTCCGATCAGTGCAAGGTCAAAGGGTTCGTGGTCAAGTGTTGCATTTCAAGGATGGAAGAATGGAGTTTCATCCCAGATATTGGCACAAAACCGAACCTTGGTCGGGTCGAAGGGTCATCCTCGTCGGGTACGCTATCAGAGACAGCGACCAGATGAATGCCCGAGATAAAGCCATGATGAATCTGCTTTCCCTCGACTTTTCATTCCCTCAACCAGTTCACAGTCCCGATGCTGCTGCTGCTCTTTCTGCAGAAACAGCCGAAGATAGGAGCATTAGAAAGCCTAGCTTGTTAGAGCAAAGTCGCCCTGACCCGCAACATCGTGCCGAGAACCTGTCTTGGGAGCCTGACTTCTTGCCGCAGGATGTAGTGGACAAGCTCAAGGGTTTCGACAAATCTCAATATGTCATGCCGCGAAAATGCAAAATTTCTTTCGAAGAGATGATCCTGCAGCCTGGTTTTCTTGATTTGTATTCGGGGTCTAGGGGCGTTGCAGTCGCATTAGCCAATCGTACTCGGCGCTGGGTGCTATGTGTCGACTATGCTCATGGGCCCTCTGAAGACTTGCTTCGCCGAGACCTCCAAGAGCTGCTCATCGGCCTGCTGAGACAGCATGCCTTCCTGGGCGTTGGTGGAGGCCCGGTATGCAGCTCTTTCTCGTCGGCAATACGACCTCAAGTCCGAAGCAAGGAGCAACCGCTGGGGGTCTGGCCGCTCAGGCCTGCTATGGCCGCCAAGGTTGTTGCAGGCAATTCACACGCCGCCTTCATGGCGATGATGGTGACGGAGGCAAGACAAGCCGAGGTTCCAGCATGGGTAGAAAATCCGCACAATTCCTACCTTTGGGCGCTGCCGTGCTGGCGAGCTATTCAAGCCGAGTATCCGGAATCGTGGATGGTCCTCGACTACTGCCAGCTGGGCACTTCGTGGCGCAAACGAACCCGTTTTTACATGTCAGACATTGGTAACCAGCGTCTCTTATGCCGAGGTGGCCACCATCATCAACAGCTGCAGGAATACTCACGTTTCCACGGAAAGCAGTGGACAAAAGTGGCAGAGCATTACCCTCCGCGTCTGAATCACTTCATTGCGGAGTTCCTCGGCGCGGCTATTCTCCCCGTTGCAGAACGCCGACGTCTTGACATCTCAGCTTGTGCCGGAAGTGGGTGCCGTCGTATTGGCGAAGCGAAGAAGCCGGGACCTGTAGTCTCTCTCGAGGAGGTGCAGCTGGTGACGCCGGCGACCGCGCGGCTGCAGGAGAGGGTCCTTCAGGGCTTCAGGGAGTGGCTGAGCTCGGGGCTTTCTGTTCCTGCACTAACTAGCTTAGAATCGTGCGCCATGGCCTACGTCTGCCTGCTGCGAGCGTACGGCGATCATCTGTTTCAGCAATCGGAGCCCATGTATAAGTTTCGACACTTGCTGGCGTGGTACCAAAAGCACAAGCTCCACCTACGCCCTTACATGCCGTTGGCCTGGGACATGCTCACTCGTTGGGAAAGGCTCGTTCCCGTACAACACCGGGTTCCCATGCCTGAGGCCTTGCTACGAGCCATGCTGGCGCTGGCGCTTCAACGTCGATGGTTCAGATGGGCAGCCATCTTGGCTATTTCATTCTATGGAGTGGCCCGAGTGGGCGAACCCCTGCGAGCTTGCCGTAGAGACCTCCTTCTGCCGTCCGACAGCCTCAGCGCTCCGGAAGTTGGTGTCTTCCTGTGTGTGAGAGCCCCTCAGACTGCTTCCCGTGGCCGCGGACGAGTTCAGCACGTCTGCATCAAGACCCTGGAGATTGTGTTGTACTTGGAGTGGGTTTTTGGCCAAGACAGTCCCGATGAGCCGCTCTACGCTGGTTCGGCGCCATCTTTTAGGCGCCGATGGGACCAACTGTTATCTGCGTTTGGCGTGGATGCATCACTCGGCCTGACCCCGGGCAGC